AAAAAATAGAATTTTTTTTAAAAGTCTATGAAAAAGATAAAAAAATAAGAAAAATGAAAAAAGTGAAAAAGTACAAAAAGAGAAAAATAGTATATACAGTCCCAGTGTGTACACACTACAATATACGGGTGGATCTCACCACATTCATCGTCCTGTTTTCGGGCAGTATGTATGTCTTGATGTATAAGCCGTGGTGCAATAGTAGGTCCCTGTAGTCGTTGTGAGCTTTTTATATCTCCCAAATTGTGTGTATAAAGTCTCTCACTTCTTCTGGAGGTACCGGACTCTCTCCTTCTATCTGATGGTGCAGGGTCTTGTGATGGGCTGCGTGCTCGGGATCTTGAAAATCCCTTCAATGGCCCTGTCAGAGATCAAAAAAATAATAAAAATCCCATATTTATACGTTGTTTTGGTGCGCCCGCTTGTGTACGCGGGTCGCGTCTGAATGACGCCATGACGCACACGTCTGATTACTGCGCCGGACGTGTGTGTCTTCCCAATATGTTAATGTCCATCTTACTGCGCCTGTGCATGCATTCCAATGCACAGGCGCGTTGTAGCACAAGGGATGCCGTCCTTTTCCTTAATCCATATTTATGAGATCAAAGGGTCCCCCATGTTTAGAAGCATGGGGGAACAAGTATCTATATACATTTATACAAAAAGTTTCCGATCATCTCTCAGTGTCACTATATACATATTAACAGTTAAAAAACATGGAGTGTTTAAATCAGTTAATTGCTGCAATAGAATATTAACCAATATAGTGTAAAGATACTAATTATCTTCAATACCCTAAATACAATAAAGGGTTAAAGTCTATGACATATTCACAAGGATCTGCCTAAGATTTAAGTATTGGCATTTAAGCATGACATATTTATAAGGGTCCACCTAAGGCATAAGTGTTGATTGTTAGAGGTCATAATATGAAAAAATGAAAACAATACTAACATTTATTTTTTATTTTTTTTATTTATTAATAAAAGAATGCTACCCTAAGGTAAATCCTCTCTAACTCCGTCCTATATTTCTCACAACTTGGTTGAAATGATACTATGTTTCTAATTATTCAAAGCAATATTTACTCCGTGGCCTATTATATAGTAGTATTATATTTAAAGTCTTCTATCAGAGAAATATTATCACTATTTATACAGCCAATACCTCTAAGGAGCCATCATACAAGATGAGGTCTAGATGGTAAGAGATTGTGTAGGACTAATGTGATTGCAACAGATAATCAGAGGTAACCGTTCACCCTTTCAAACATCATATTTTTACAAAGTAGGCATACTCACCAGCAGTGTAGTGTGTGAAAAGTGCCTGTGGTTTCCCACACGTTGGACCCCGTTATTTCTCGGGTGACGGACCAAAAGTGGTCAACTTCTTTAGTGACTTTTGAAGAAAAAAAGAGACAGGCGTACCATATAGGATCCCAATGACTTACTGTAAATATAAAATAATAAATTAGCCCGAATGAACGGACCAAGAAGGAGAGAGTCCGGTACCTCCAGAAGAAGTGAGAGACTTTATACACACAATCTGGGAGATATAAAAAGCTCACAACGACTACAGGGATCTACTATTGCACCACGGCTTATACATCAAGACATACATACTGCCTGAAAACAGGACCCATACCCTTGGAGAATGTGGTGAGATCCACCCATATATTGTAGTGTGTACACACTGGGACTGTATATACTTATTTTTCTCTTTTTGTACTTTTTCACTTTTTTAATTTTTTTTCATTTTTCTTATTTTTTGATCTTTTTCATAGACTTTTAAATTTTTTTCTATTTTTTCTTATTTTTTGATTTACCTTTTTGCCTTTTTTTGGATGGTACTTTTGGACTCTAAGATATAGTAATGCAGTTCAGCATTTTTTGATTATTTACAAATCTGTGGTTAGGGATCTTCAGTCACATGGAGTTATATTAGTTGGCACATAATGTACTGTTTCTACTAAGACATATCGTTTGATTCAAGTGTATATATTATCAATTTTTTTGTAATTAATGAATTATATTCATATAACATAACAATGAATTATTAAATAAAGTAATGAATTCTATCATATATCTTCAAGGGCCCGGTAAGTGCTGCGGCCGTATAAAAGCACGACTTGGCCCCTTTACGAATGTCAGCCGCAACTAGTGCTGGGAGGAAATGATGGTCGGTCACTTCCTAACGCCTCACTCCGTGCTGGAGGGAGGACACACAGAGCGGACGCCGTGAAGAGGGAGGGAGAGCCAGACCAACTCCCATCAACCCCAGCCACCCTCCTGCACTGAAAAGGTAGGAAACAGGAGTGTGTGTCAGTATGTATGTATGTGTGTCAGTATGTATGTGTGTGTGTGTGTGTGTCAGTATGTATGTGTGTCAGTATGTATGTGTGTGTGTGTGTCAGTATGTGTGTGTATCAGTATGTATGTATGTGTGTGTGTGTGTCAGTATGTTTGTGCGTTTGTCAGTATGTATGTATGTGTGTGTGTGTGTGCAACACAAGAAATTCTCCAGGCACTCAAGGTGTTCAAGCCGCTGGCAGTTTTAATAGAACAAAAGGAGCAGCAACGTTTCGACCTGCTATGAGGTCTTTGTCCAAGGAAGGAGAGACAAGACAAAAAAATAATAATAAGGTATAAACAAATATAAGCAAAAAAAAGCTTAAGGACCCACTTCTGGTCAAATGGAACGCAATAAGGTGTTTCCTGTTCTATGTGCTCCTTTCCTTATGCGTTCCATAGAACAGGAAACGTCTTCTTGCGTTCCATTTGACCAGAAGTGGGTCCTTAAGCATTTTTTTGCTTATATTTGTTTATACCTTATTATTATTTTGTCTTGTCTCTCCTTCTTTGGACACACATAGGTAAGCTACTAATGGATTATTGTATTTATGTATATCTTGTGCAATTTGCGTGATTTGTATTATTTATTAATGTAAATAAGATTTCTGTAAGTTTATTGTTTGTTAACCACTTTGCGCTGTTTGATATATATATATATACACTTATACAAAACACCCTCTTAATAATACTATTCTGTGCCTAAAATACAAAGCAGCTCAAACACATAAAGTGGAATACCCTTATTGCCACAATAAACTAACAATATATAGAAATGTGGTGTAAAATACACCACCTAGTGGAGCGCCAATACAAATAAAAGTGATAGAAGGGTTCACTTACCCCAACAATTTTGTGTTGTCTTAAATTCAGGAATATGCTTTTAAAAATACAACGAAGGGAACAAAGAGATAAAAAACATGTAGTGTAGATGGTTTTGGTAAAAACGAGTGATGGAAGTAAAAAAACTAAATGGTCTGGAGCCTATATGATATTGGTTCTGTACGTAAGCCTTTGTGCTCTTTGGGCAGGCACACACCCCTTCCTCTGAGATGTTCCTCCACAATGACAAGGAAACAAAAGGAGGGCAGGCTTGGAGACAGGCCTCCAGGGACCCAGAACTTGAGTTATGTTAGGTGCCCCAAAATTTAAAAAGGCGGCCCTGGGTCTGAATGCTGTTTGGAGGGTGTTAGTGCACACTACAAAGTGTGAATGTGGTTTACAATGTGTGAATGCCTTTTGCTGGCATGAATGCAGATTGCAGAGTGTGAATGCTGTTTGCATGGTGTAAATGCTGTTTGCCAGATGCTAGTGCTGTTTTCAGGATGTGAATGTTGTTTGCAGGGCGTGAATACTGTTTGCTGGGTGTTAGTGCCGATATCAGGGTGTGAATGCTGATTGCCTGATGCTAGTGCAGTTTTCAGGATGTGAATGCTGTTTGCAGGGTGTGAATGCAGATTGCAGGGTGTGAATGCAGTTCGCAGGGTGAGCATCCAGATTGCAGCATGTGAATACTGTTTGCAGGGTTTGAATGCTGTTTGCAGATCTTGACACAAGCGATCTACATGGGTTTTACAATTAGAGACTGCCAGAGTCAGAAAACTACCATGAAATAGACCTTAGGCCAGTCCTGAGAGCACTGAGGTTACAGGCTACTTTCGGAAGCCCAAACCCACACAGTGCAGGGCTAGAAAACACCATAAGCACTTTCTACTTGCAGCCTCACTCCTTTAGTGCTCTGCCAGCAGACACTGCAATGCGCTGCTGCATTTATTCAGCTGATCACTGTTGCTGTAAGGCTACAACCCACACTTTTGTGTGCCATGGTGCCCCACATCCCTTGTAAGGAGTTAAACCAATTTTTACGGTTTGACTCCTTACCTGGGTCCGCCAGGTGCCAATCCCTGCCTAATCAAATAGAAAAAAGATAAATATCCAGGAACATCTGAGGTTTCTTCTAAAAGGCAGTCTTTTATTAGGCAGAAAAAAGTGGAGACGTTTCTACTCCTCTCTGAGCCTTTATCAACTCTTGATAAAGGAATTTAGGGATACTCTATTCTATAAATTAATGGGTCCAGGATACAGAATGTAATAAACTGAATTAGAAATACTCTATTTGGATACTCTATTTTATAAATTATTGAGTCTGGGATAAACAGTGCAATAAACTGATTTAGGGATACTCTGTTCTATAAATTAATGAGTCTGGGATACAGAATGTAATACACTGAATTAGGGATACTCTATTCTATAAATGATTGAGTATGGGATACACAGTGCAATAAACTGATTTAGGGATACTCTATTCTATAAATTATTGAGTCTGGGATACACAGTGCAATAAACTGGTTTAGGGATTATCTGTAAATTGAGCCAGGGATATCTAACACATTTGGCTCCATTGAGCCAGAAGATCTATCAGTCATGTTGTTTTTAATGGAATTAGGTAGATGTTTGATACAAACAGAGATTTACTGTCAGTAAACTCCACCGCTTTTTGTGTGGTGCTAAACATATATTGTATGAGCATAGCACTGGCTACACTGTGTCCATCTACACTCTGAACATTCTGCACTGGGAGCGCGCTCACGATAGGGGTGATGTTTTCTGACCTGCTCAGGCACCCGTACAGCCGCTTTGACAGAAGGCGGGGCAAGGTATTAGTATCCGCTGGGCTCTGCAGGTCACGTGTTGAAGCCGCTGGATGACGTCACGGCCTGGCAGCAATGGGTAAGGAGCAGGGAGCTAAGAGAGGGTCAGTTTCAGGGGCCACAACCTGCACCCGGCTTGTGGGACCCGGGAGAGCTCCCCCCAATACAGGGCAGGACAATATAGGCTGCTGTGTAATATACAGGCCTGGGGCATCAAGGGAGTTGTAGTTCTGTAAAACCCGGGGCATAATGGGAGTTGTAGTTCTGTAAAACCTGGAGCATTATGGGAGTTGTAGTTCTGTAAAACCTGGAGCTCTGCCTGCCTGTCTGTGTTATTATTAGTATTATTTTTATTCTATACTGAGAGCTAACTCTATCACTGCCATGCAAGGGGACTGCAATCCAGCAGCTCAGACTGCCTGCACACTGAGCATCATGGGAAATGCAGTTCTTAAACTATTGGAGTGCATTATATAACAGGGAACCTCAGGAACTAGGAAAAATGTATTTACCTGCCATTAAAAACAGTGGGGGCTTGTTTGAACACATTTTAGCATTTTATAAAAGTGATAGTACATTCCCATTGGTGTCAGTGTAAAGCTGGTTGGCGCTTTATAGATGATGATGATAATAATAATGCTGTTTAGGGTAAGAGGTTGGTTTGATAGATTTGCTATGTTTTCTTTGGACACACACCGGGTTATTCACCAAGGTGTGCGTTATCTCAAATTCACCGTGTATTCAATTCTTGGACCCAAGTAGTCAAATTGGGAATAAATTCTCATGTTGGTGACTGCTTTCATTTTGGTTTAAATTCAGTGTAAATTTTCAGCAAGTCACACTTTACCGTGTTCTTCCCTAAACTATGAACTGGAACAAATTTAAAATGTAAAATTCAGGCTAAAATGGCCAAACTGTTACAGTCAATGGTTGCACATAAGTTGTGTTTGCGTAACTTTTTTTAAAATGAAAATTCTTTTTTATATATATATATATATATATATATATATATATATATATATATTGTGATGGTAACCCTAGTTATCGGCGTACTTTGTAATATAGCTCCATTCACGGGACAAGGAGCTACAAGCTGTATTTTAGTACAACACCAGTACGCTGCAGTGTTTATTGTTCAAAATAATCCAAAACCGTTTGGTAACAGTTTGACTTCATACCTTAGCCGCCAGGGCCCTCCTGACACTACAACCTCTATAGTGAGCAATAGTAGTTTTGGTGCTGGGGAGGTTCCTTCAAGTCTTTATTTTATATTTATTTCAGAAAAATGCCTTACTGCACAAATTACATTATCAACCTGTAATTAATAATACAAAAGCCATAGAATAGTTTGCCAAGTATAATTTTTAATTCCTTCCAAATAGTGTTTATGAATCATATTTGCTTACATGCATGACCCATTCAACATTGTTTGTTTTCTGATGTATAAAATATGATGTTATTTTTACTATCTGATGTTTTAAAGAACTCATTTATGATTCCCACGTGGTAGTTGGTCAGATATTTCTGTGAAGGACAGTATTCTTTTTTTGACTTCTTCTCCGCTTTTTACTTTTCAATGAAATACACAGTATGTCTTAACGGCCTTGCCTGTAACAATTCAAATTAAATGTGTTGGTTAATTTGTACAAATAACTTGTCTCCATCTGTTGAAGGTCCATTATCCTGTAACATCATTTGTTGTTTTATTATGTATCTGTAACTAAGAATAAACCTGAAGAAACCGTAAGTCAGATTGCTAATTAGTACTTTTTCAATAATATAGACATATATTATTGTGGCGAGTATTTGGCCCAAGACTAGATATACAAAAGACGTTTGTGTGTGTGTGTGTGTGTGTGTGTATGTATGTGTATATGTATATGTGTATATATATATATATATATATATATATATATATATATATATATATATATATATATATAATCTCTATCTCCCAGAAGAAATTAAGAAGATTTAACAGTGACGATCGATTACAACCAGATTTTACACCATCTCATTTGCGTACAACCAAGACTGGAAACATTAAAATTAAAGGTTCTTAAAGACTTAAATTCTGCAATTATTAGTGTAATCTTAAAGGGACACTGTAGGCACCCAGACCACTTCAGCTAATTGAAGTGGTCTGGGTGCAGTGTCCCTTTTGCACTTAGTGCTTCAATGTAAAACATTACAGTTCCAGAGAAACAGTGACAGTCCACTAGAGCACTTCCTGAAGCGAAATCGACTTTTGGTCAGCTCTGCATGAGGACACCCACATCAGATTTTTTATTTTTATTCCCCCCCCATACGAAAGCATTGATTCATTGCTTTCCTATGGGGAGGTCTAATGCGCGCGTGGCATTAGTAGCCTCTCGTCTATGTGACTTACTAATAATGACTAAGCCGTAAGTTAGAGTGCCTGATCTGACCTCTCCTCCCCCCACTGACGTCAGCTCCCGAGTGGAGAGGAATGCCGCGCACGCATGCAAACTGTCTATAGGAAAGCATTTCTTAATGCTTTCCTATAAACTCTCTGCACGCTAGATGCGAATTTCGTATCCTCTGTCAGGAAGACAGCCACTAGAGGTTGGATTAACCCCGCTATGTAAACATAGCGGTTTCTCTGAAACTGCTATGTTTACATGTGAAGGGTTAAAACCTGAGGGACATTGCACCCAGACCACTTCATTGAGCTGAAGTGGTCTGGGTGACTATAATGTCCCTTTAACGGATGGAAAAAAGTGGCAAACCTGAAGGATCCTATTCTTATTTCTTACAAACCCAAACCCACTCCTTTCTGGTATATATATATTTTTTTTTTTTTATGTATATTTTTGCAGTAATTTGCACCCCCCCTCACCCCTCCCCCTTTATACAGGTACCTGCTAGTGGCTGGTTTGACCAGTAATGTATTTGTTTGCTGTTGTATTTCTGATTTGTATGGCAAACCTATCTGCTGTGACCTGGGGTTTTTCACGATAACCAGCACACAGTGCCTTTTTTTGGTTAGGGGTACGAGGGGGAGAATAAATCCTTTGCCATTACTTTCAGTCTATTTATTTGTATATTTCAAGGAGCTAGGTGTGTGTGTATTTTTTTTTTTTTGAAAGCCAGGGTTGAGGTCTCTAATGCTAACTATGTGTTATCTTCACATGTTAGTTCTTACCTCAGAAAGCCTTATAGAGAACCTTTTTTATTCCACGATTTTCATCTCTTCCTGGTCTCAACCCTAGCCCTAAGGAGCCTAGCTGTAGCAGACGTCCATATAGACTGTCCTCGAAGCCTCCTTTTCCACAGGATCTTCCTGACATTAGTCCTTTACTTAATAGGCCAGGCTGATGGAGATGTTTTGAGAGACTGTCCAGAAATCCTCCTCCTCCCCAGTATCCTCTTGACATCAGCCCTTGACCTAAAGAAGCAAACTGCGGCAAGCGTCTTGAGAACTTGTCCTGGAACTCTCCTTGTAAACCATCTTTATTTCCCTTGTATCCACCTGACATCAACCTCTGCAACAGGTATCCAGGCTGTTGCAGAGACCCAGACAGGCTGTCCTGGAACCCTCTGTTTCCCCAGTACCTACTTGACATTAGTCCTTGGCCTAATATGTCAAGCTGTGGTTGATGTCTTGGGAGCCTGTCCTGCAACCCTCCTTGTAAACCATCTCCTCCTCCCCAGTATCTACCTGACATCAAGCTCTGCAATAGGGATCCAGGTTGTTGAAGAGACCTAGAAAGGATGTTCTCGAACAATTTATTTACCAAGTATCCTACTGATGTCAGTCTTTGACTCAATGGATCCAATTGTGGCAGATGACTTTGGAGCTTTTCATGAATCCCTTGTTGTAAATCACCTTCTTTTCCCCAGTATCCTCCTGCCATCGATCCTAGCCCTAAGGAGCTAAGGAGTCGTTGATATTTTAAGAGCTTGTCCCAGAACTCTCGTTGGTAACCATCTCCTTCTACCCGGTATCTTCCTGACATTGGTCCTTGGCCTAATGTGTCAAACTCTGATAGATATTTTGGAAGTTTGTCCTGGAGCCCTAGATGTAGATCACTTCCTCCCCAGTATCCTCCTAACATCGGGCTTAACCCTAAGGAGCTGAGCAGTCGTTGACGTCTTAAGATCCTGTCCAAGAACTCTTGTTGGTAACCATCTCCTTCGTCCCAGTATCTTCCTGACACTTGTCCTTGACCTAATGGGTCAAACTGTGACTGATGTCTTGAGAGTCTGTCCTGGATCCCTCCTTGGTAACCATCTCCTTCTCCCCAGTAACCACCTGAAACCAGTCCTTGACCTAATGGATGAGAATGTTGCAAATATTTTAAGAGTGTGTCCCAGTACCATCCTTGTAAACCACCTCCGAGTTTTCCTGACATTAGTCCTTGATCCAAGGAGGCGCGTAAATTTCCTTGTGCTAATGCAGGGCACCTACAATCTTGCCCGCATAAACATAACCTTTGACCTTGACGTTCAAATCCTTCTATGCTCCCTAAAAAAAAGAAATTACATCAGAATAAATTATTTTTAATTGTGGTGAAGTGAAAAACGAATTGAACAATTTAGACTAAACATCCAGCCATTTCAGCAAGTTTTGCATGTATTGTGCAGTTTGTTTTTCAATTCAGTGATTTGAATTGGTCATGGTGCCAAGAAATGCTGCACAAAGAACATTAAAGAATTATGCTGCTTAAGGTGTAACTCTCTCGACAAGAGTTGGGCTTGCTAAAGTGAATTCCTTGCATAAAAGGCTGTCATCAGCACACTTAACATACTGGTGGCAGCTCAGGCCAGCCATGGGACGTCTCTGCCCCACCAACAATGGGCACTGGCATCACTGAAGGGGTATCTGGCAGCATGGTGGAATGGCCCTTTCCTGCCTTTCTGCCACAATATTTTATTAAAACACAGTTTTTGTTGGAGTAACTCTATAAAGTGTTTAAAAAAAAAAAAAAAACTAGCTCTACTGTGTGAATCGCTGCCAGGGGAGGAGTGGCTAGGGCTGCAATGGTCAAAAATGATTTAACTCCTAAATGGCATAGCATTGCACAGCGAGACTACAGAGGCATGATACACCAAAACCATTTCATTAAGCTAAAGTTGTTTGGATGCTCAGAGTCCCCTTTTAAGATCTTTGAGTAATCTATGTTGTAGATGTAGAAGATATTGATCAGTCTTGCAAGGGCACAAAAACATTCCCCTTTTTGTATATCAGTCTTCAGAGGATGTGCATTTGAGCACATATAACTGCATTGTAAGTTCTGCTTATTGCTTGGTACAACATACATCTTCTATTAACTATCTTGAACCAGCTGTAATTTGATCATTGGAAGAAAATGCATTCACAAAAAAAAGTATATAAATGTACCTCCAGGTTTATGGCATAAATTATGAGGGGGATGAATTACTTTTTTCTAATATTCTTGGACAAAACAGAAGAGCATAGATAATTCCAAATTATTGCCGATTCCTTCGAAATATAATACTTTGTGATAAGTTGCAAGTCTATAATGGACCTCTATGAATCCTTCTATCAGAAGACCCTCCCCCCCATGTGTCCATATTACAGATGTGTTGTTTATTTTGTACCAACCTTGTGCATCGTTGCTCGACCTGTCCAACACACGAGATAGGTGACCACTAACGTTAGCTGTCAGGACCAACGACAGCAGATATATGTATAGAGAGACCTTCATTGTTGTTCGATCACAGGAAGATTGCTGCAATGAGAAAACACTTACAAAGGCTCTGCAGTCAAATCTAGAGGTCTAATAATCCATAGCATCTACACCAGGGATAGGCAACAATTCTTTTCAAAAGGTATGAGATTTCTGCAACTTGCACAGCGTACATTTATGTCCAAAAATATTGTTGGTCAAGTTGCATAAACCTCAAACCTTTTAAAAAAAAAAAAAAAAATTGTTAATGGCATATTTCAATAACATTAACTGGAACAGCAACGTGGTCATCTGCCTGGAATAAAGGGGCCACGAGACTGGGAATGGGGTTAAAAGCACTTTAACAAAGTTTTGTTGACTTTTTAGGATGAATACAATTTATCTTTTATACAAAAACTTTTGAATAAAGTAGAATTTTTTTAATTTTTTTTTTTTTTTTTTGTCTATGTAGTTCTTTTGAAAGTTTGATATATTTTGCATATTTTGGGGTTGGAAAAGCTTGAGTAGATAAGATGAACAGATGACCCTCAAATGAGCCCCAATATGACCCCTCTCGGCCAATGAATGAGTGTCTGTATGTACATCAGTATTTGCACAGAATTCTAAATTCAAAGTCAGCCCGTAATGCTACCTTCGGAGAGCCTGATGATGCCCATTACTCTGCCGGAGGTGGAACTATGCCTCCATTAGCAGACGGATTAAGCTCGGTATGTACAGATTTTCACAGCGAAACACTGCACATACAGACTCCAGGCACCATGACCACTGCAGTGGTCATAGTGATTGGAGTAACATTTTGACCAACCTGTGAAAAATGCCTCCATTGCTCAATTCAGTCAAGGTAATAAATAGGTTTATTTTAAACAGAAATAGGAAAAATTACCTGTCTTTGTCGTCGTTCTATTATTTCTATAGTTGGTACAGAAGTATTGTTTGCACTCACCGTGTCTGCATATGATGTGAGTATGGTGACTAGCTTATGAAGAGTTTTATAGCTGTGGTGAAAGGAGTGTTAGACTCTTGAGTTTTCTTTTTTTAATTGTGGCCGTGACCTTTTCATGTGTGGTTTTTGGTTTTTTTTTCTTTTCTTTTCCTTGCCAAAGTCAAGGTATCCATAAGGTATTGAGTGAAGCATTAACCACTTCTTAAAGCTATTTTTTTTTTATCATGTGTAGATTATTTTTTTATTTTTTTTAATTCCTTATTTTGTTTGTGCAGAGGTTTAACAGGTGGATTTGCACTGCCACAATAGCTGATGCAACCAAGTTGGTATTCACACTTAATCATATGGCATTGAAGACATTGCACTTTTTTTAACGTAGTTATGTAAACAGGATAATATCTTAAGCTTAGAAAAACAAAGGAGAACAGTAGCTTGGTTTACAGATGTTTCACCCAGTAGTCACATTAAGATTAGCGGTCAGGCTAGTACATTGCATTACAAAACATGGCTAACCACTCCAATATCTTTGTCTGATTGTACAGTGTTATGCCTTCAATACAGTATGTCTGGTCTATGCTATTATATTTAATTGTGTCACGCTGGGTGAAAGAAAAGTAAACAAGAGGGGCTGTCTGAATCAAGATTAAACTGATATTATGCTGAAAACAGGAGTCCACCGCTTGTTGAGTGAGACTTGTAAATGCCTCCTTGAGTTCTTGCCCTTTCATCCGATTCCAGATTTACTGGGAGCTTGCTAGGTTGTTGGGTGTATATTCCCAGTGGAAAGGCATGTGTTGCGTAGGTGTTCAGGCAGTTCATCCGCGTAGCTGGTGCTATTTTGTGGAGGTAGACTGTTCAAAGTCCCCAGTCTCTGCACCCTAGCTGGGCCCCAGTTGGCTGCAGGTTTTTACCTTCAGGGTGTTGGGCCTTGGGTGCTTAGTTGTACCTCGGCTCCAGGGCCTCTGCCTTGCAGGTAGTGGGGTTCTCCGGTGCCTCAGTTTTCTTTGCGTCAGGGGGGGCGAGGTGGTTTGAGGTGTGCAAGTCACTGATATCAGTGCCTCCGAGGTGTGTACATGCTTTTGTCTCACTTTTATTTTCGCCCAGAATTTAGCAAGTATTTCATCCAGGTTACTCAGGGTTGAGGCAAAGAGGGTGTTGGCTGTGGGAGCCACGTGGGACTCTCGCATGCAGTAGCTTTTTGCCGCTATGACGGAGCGGTGTTTGGTCTCCTGGGACCGGGAACACCCCCCCCCCCCCAGTCCAGAGAGAGGGAAGCGGGGGAGTGCTGTGAGGTGCAAGATGTGGTGTCTGGAGAGCAGCCATCCCTGCGACGCCAGCCAGGCTTGTGGGCCTCAAGAGGCCGGGTCCAGTGCACCAGGTCAGGACAGCATCGAGATTGGTAACGTTCGGGTCTCCAGAGTCCCATAAGTGCTCCCAAGCTGGTTTTGAGGTGGTATGGCTGAGGTAGCATGTGGGAGAAGGCTTAGTTTGCCTTTATTTTGTTTTACAGCAGTGTCATCATATTCAGCAACAACATAACTACAATCACCCTTTAAATATTTTTTTTTTTCTCACATTTCCGTTGTTGAACTGCATCTGCTGCAGAACGCATCAGAATGCATATTGCACAGAATTCCATTATCAACCCTCTGTCAAGTCACCAGCAATCTCCCTCTAGTCTAGAGTCTAGACCAGGGAGAGGCAACCTTCGGCACTCCAGATGTTGTGGACTACATCTCTCATAATGCTCTTACACCCTGCTAATGCTAGCAAAGCATCATGTGAGGTGTAGTCCAAAACATCTGGAGTGCCGAAGATTGCCTATGCCTGGTCTAGACTGTAAGCTGTCCAACCTGGGCTCCCTATATCTTCTGTTTCATTATGTATCAATGCAAATACTTAGTGTGATGTTTCACTGTATGTGTCTACGTGTATGCAATATTTGTGTTTTTTGTAGAGTCATGTGGAATTGTGTGTTTTATATACACGTTCCATAGTTTACTAAGAGGTGTATGTCCACAAAAGATGAATTTTCAGTCCTTTTTAATTAAACGTTTCTTTAGACCTGGCTAAACTGGTAGGAGCTGCCTTATTACTGTGTATTGAACACTAACACTTACTGCCAGTGGCTTACACTCTTCAATGAATGTTTGCCAATTCTCCTAGCATTGTGTCCATCCATAGTGTGAAGTATAAAAGTCCCATTGTGTTTTCATTAATTTTCTTGTGGTTTAGAGCAAGGCAAGAAGGATTCGAGTGATGCGTCCCCTGACCCTTCCCTTGATTACTTGAACCGCAATCCGTCGCCACCGCCCAGTGATGATGAAACTCCCACTGCAGACTCCATTGGGACCACAGTGTTCAGCAAGCACTGGCTGTTTAGTACCCTAACTAAACTCGTCAAGGTAGAGGGGAACATCATATCTGTATGGGTGTTTACAGAATATGTCTTGGGATACAACCTTATTGTAGATCTTGGTTTTTCTTTCTTTCAAAATCTGACTCTGTTTTATCTGTTTATACGATGCATCTTTTTTTCAAAGTTATTTACATTTTCCAGAAAATTTAGGAGCCAGGTAGGAAGCAGGTAACATGTTCATTATGGTCGCCTGTGCAGCCCTGATCTCCAGTCTATTTGACCAACCTCACGGTCATGTGAAGTAATCCACTCTCATAGATGCAAGAAAATCCCTCATATTCACCAACAACTCCATAAACATACAGTTAGACCTTCGCTCACACACATATATGCACATATATTAAAGAGACACCAGACACCATAACCATTTCACTGTCGGAGTGGTTATGATGCTAGAATACGTTCCCTGCAGAGACGGCTTTCTCTACTCCCTTCCACTCACAAGCAATGTATTCTGACATTTCCCCATGACACTGTTAGGGTGTCATGAGGACTCGTGTTAGGGGAACAGGGATTGTTGTATTTGCTTTAGATAATCCGAGACAATCCACTTACATCACAGATACTGCTGCTGTCTTAAATTAATTGGTCTGTGTATCCGGGGAGCCAGTCAGTGGAGATCATTCCATTTGCTCTGAATGACAGAAATACCATTTTTTAGGAAGTAAAGCCCATTTTTTGTGTTGCAATGTCTACCTGGTACTGTGGATTTGTTAGACTATGTGTACTTTACATTTTACAAGATGTATTTTCAAGGCGGTTTAAACCTTGATCATCATGTTAACATATTTAAGCCCTTCTTTTCAATTCTGAACCCATCACTGATGTTCCAGAGCAGGTCAACCAGATAACATGCTATTAGGAAGTGAAGCCCATAACTTTAAATAGCCTCTGAAGTTACTCAACTTTAAATAAAAAAATAGGACACCAAAACATATAGCCAGTTTTTCAGGCATATTATCAATTATCAATCTGTGTAGTCCTCACTTAGCTCACTTGCCATCTGTTTGGTCCATGTTTTGACTACCTTTAGACTTGATGAACGCCTACCTTAATGCAACAATACATTTAAGAGAACACCGTACATGCTAAAATCGAATAGTTTGTTCTAAAGTTATCTCACATGCAGGTCTGAATGGAATTTTACTTCACTTGTGCAATTACAGAAGGCATATATGTTACCAGACTTATGCCACCACAAGGATAGCCTAGAACTCTGGAACCTATGTGCCGGGCATATCTCTGCTAGACCTACGGCTCCAGACACTCTGACGTGATATTTCTTTGAGTACATTGCGAACACCCACTTTCTTCTAGTTTGTAGAAAGTGATCAGAAAACCAAGAATGAAGAAGGAGAGGATGTGCCGGTAGAGCTGGATGAAGAGTTGGAAGATGAAGTTTGCAAACTGTGGGACATGTCTATGAATGAGGTAAGGTGTGATTCGGAATGACCAGTGACTGTTCTACATTAAAATGTAAATTGTGTTTGCAGCTTTGAACCCTGGAGAAACCTACATCTATAATCTATTGTTATGATAATCTCACAACTGACGGTGCTACTTTAAGCATTGTAAGTCCACCCCCTCCAATTTAGACTCTATCAATACCTACAGCCTCCATAGCACGCCAGTAACCAACCTCATGCTGATGAGTTGCATTAACAATGAAACAGATGTCCATCAGTGGTTCACTGGCTTTGCTCCTCTTCATGAGTTGTGTTTCAAAGCTGTTGTATACAGCAGACACATACTCCAAGGAAGCCATGTATAAAGTGCAATTATGAGGCAAAAATGTGGCTCTTTGTTGATCTCATTTGCATATGCCTACCCAGAATCCCTTGCAGCAGTGAGAGCACTGTTAAAGTGAGATTTCTGTGGGCAAAGCAGGTCTTTTGGCTTAACTGGTGTGTGTATTTGTGTTTAGCAATGTTTTAACTAAATACCTAAGCAGCATTTGTCTGCAGTCTGAGATGTTTCTCTCAAAGTAGAGCCAGCAAGTGATAACTCAGAATCCTTTCTTTTGTAGTCTCTTTAGAATGTATGCATTCAGCTCTCTCTATCTATTTGGTATAATCCCCTTTTGTATAAAGGTCATATATTTCTGATCCATAAAATAATTGTTTTTGGCCAAGGTTTGTGAAGTTCTGATAACACAAAGATATGGTATCTTTCAGAGAGGATTAACCTTTTCCATGTCTAAAGCCTTTGTATCGTTAGTGTGCCAAAATCTGCACACAGTAAATAAATTAAATTATTAAAAGCAATTTTCTCATTTTTCCAATGTAAAGTGTCACGGAATCGGAGACCCTCCAAAACCCCACTATATGACATAATTCAAAATACTGTCATGATGGAAAGACTCCCTGCTTTCGTTCAAAATCTTACAAATTTTTTCCAGAAAAGTTGGAATCACAGTCTGGTTAAATAGCTCCTTCAGTTGTTTGCACCTCTTTCCTGTTGCTATTTCTCTCCTTATTTTCTTGTAGTTTATCTCTATAGTCTTTCTCCACCTCTAATTGTATAAAATATTTATCTTTTTCCTTCCTCATTTCTGTGTTCCGTGGGTAACCAAGCACCTTGCACTACTATTAGACCCCTTCACTGGTAGTTAAATGTCCATTTTTACTTTTGTGATTTGTGCCTGTGAGCAGGCACCTTTTGGCACCAAACGCGTTAGAAGGCTTTTTGGTCCTTTCCTGACCCCTTAACGTTCCTCCGAGCCCCGCATAGCCGGGCATACAGCGTATGTATGTAATATATTGAACCCTCTTTCCTGACAGACTGATACATAACAGAATGTGTATGTTTTCTGTTTGTAATCTTTTGTAGGAAGTGGCTCTATTTCTCAAGGAGTTTGAGGGGCCTGAACTTCTTGTTGGGATTATTAAGAAGTCCAAAAGTAAACGGCTCACAGTAAGTGAAAGTTTATGTACTTTTTACTTTATTTTTGAAATTGATCTCTTATAATTATCATTTCTGACTGTCTTTGTTCTTGATTTTTAAGGAAATTTGTATGGGTATTTTGGCAAACATGAGCTGCTTTAAAGAGACGCGCGAGTGTATGACTGAGAATGACGGCTTGGGGTAATCATTATTTTTATTTGTATCTTAATCTTATTGTGTAATAGTCCTTGTTTTTTTAAATCCATATACTGGTATAGACCATAATTTTTCATATTGATCCAATTGCCTAATTGCATTATTCCACAATTTTTAAATCCAGATTTTTTCAAAACTTAATGTGAAATACTGCTGGCAATATAAGCTGTAAGCAGACACCATTTTGAAATGTAACAACATAAATCAGGACCTGTACCTTTCTGCTTTTTGTGCCAATAAATAGTTTGGCTCTGAAAGAATCAATGGGCAGTTTTAGAATGACGCTCTTTCACGTAACCATTTCCCTCATCAGCATGATGCTGGCTTTGATTTAATAACATTTCTCTGACTCTCTCAGGCTAAGCAATCTTAAAAGAAACCTTGCTGAAGAGCCCACCATAGGGTGAGGGTTTTTTTAAAAACATTTTTATTATTTTTAATTCTAAAACGTGTGTACATGCAGCATTTTGAACGTAAACTTGTTAACTGAGAAGTCTTGGGGTACAAAGTTCAGTTTAGCTGTACTCCTAAAATTTGATGTCAAAAACAATAACGTCAAACCTGCGAGGAACCATTTTATTGAAGGAATATCAAGGATGCTGAACCAGTTTAAAAAAAAAATGAATCTAATATTCTGTGTTTTTCAGAGAATTGGTGCTTCTACTACTGGCTGATCCAGACCCTCCGACATTAATCGAAACTAGCAGGTGTTGTTATTGTATAGTGCTAAGATTACGTGCTGACATATTGTATAGTGCTGGGACAACGTGTTGACATTCAAAATTAATTATGATATGGAATATGTAATTCAACACTCACTTTTAATGTAGCTTCTTTCATGGCTTTGTTTGCTTTTTGTTGCTTGTGCACTGCTGCTGTACAGACCTTTTCTTTTACAAATAAAAAAGCAAGTCCGTAAAAGTTACTTTGGACTTGTACCGCCAGGACAGATGTTGAGTAATTAGCAGATTGTCAACACTACAGTAATGAATTGCTCCTTTAAAGGGACATATGTTGAAAAAGTTTTATGCCTTTATAGATAATGCATTAAAAATGCAAAAATAAACCTCCACTAAGTCATAAGTAGTAAAAAAAAAAAAATTTAAAATAAAAAGTACTGTCAAGGTTTGTGAAGCTAATGCATTTATGTAGGCAAGATGCAGCTGGTGATGGCTCCTCCCACACCAGGAAAAGATTCCACCAATCAGGATGACACATGGAACTAATGGCCGCTATATCACAGCTACATTTGCGATGTTGTTGTAAATTGGGCTGGCAAAGGGCACTATTATAGCTACAGCTAGTTTTAAATCCCTGTGTTCAGAGTCGCAGAGATAGCAGACCTCTTTGTGTGCAATGGGCACAGACTATTATGACCGTAAACCTGTGGCGTTTTCAACAGTGCTCACTTGTCGTGTGAATTTTTATAGTTCAGTTTAATTGTTCTGAAAATATATTGATAGTAGCTGAAACATAATGAACACACAGTATGCTCTAATTATGACCAAGGAACTTGATCTCCATTTCAGGTTTTTACTGACTTGTTTATCGCACAGCGATGTAGCAAATACTTGGCTGGAGAGATTAAACGAGGAACTCTGGGTCCGAAAAAACATCTATTTCATTATGAGCAGCTCCACCAATGGTACGCACTGCTTTATTTCTTCTTTCTATCCCAATCTACTTGTCCTTTCTTCCATCTGAACCCATCCTTGCTATCTTTAGTTCAGTTTGGTAAAGAATCTTAATACATTGCAGTCCTTCATCCATGGTTGAAAAAATGAGTTGCGTAATAACATCTACACCCCAGAATGTTCTTGGATACTATTATAATCCAAACTATGACCCAGAAACACAGCCATTGGGCATTGAAGGATGGGGAGATACTAGGAAGGGTAGGGAATAACAGGAGGTAGACCCTCCAGGTTAAACCTAGGGGATCTACCTTTTTCAATTATTTGAAACCCCTAGTAACATACTATTCTAGCCAAATACTCGCAATATCTCTTTTTAATGTACATTTGTTTTATATTGTATTAATATTTTTAGTTACCAAGGGTGTTATTGCAATAATTATAGCTCTACAAGCTAATCTTCCAAACACAAAGCAGCCATAATTCGTAAAGAAATGTTTATTTTTTGCTTGTAAAATCAGAAGGGTAACCTCTGGTGTCCTCCTCTCTCAGTTGATCTCCTGGTTAAAGTTGGTGAGCTGGTGGAGAAGTTGTTTGATTTGGATTCGGGAATGGTTTTCGAGTGGGTGGAAGCCGATTCTGAAGATTCCGTTAAAGATGATGAGAATTCAGAGGAAGAAAATCCACCAGCTCTGCAACTTGTACCCTCTGTGTTGGAAGCAGCAAAACAGCTCAGGTGACTTGACCAAGGAGTAAAAAATAATAAACATAAATATTTATTGGTCCCTCTTGGGGAAAGAAAAGAACAACCAAAAACCCTTAGAACTGAAGTTCTAAGCCCCAATTACAGCGCTCCCTCCAATTCTCCAAAGTTGAGCACAATAGTGCCTTACTGTAAACGAGACTCTTGACAAAGGCGCACTTTTGCGCCGAAACGCGCGTTGAGCATAACTGTGTACACTATGTACTTTACCTAGGACATCCGTTTTTATAACTATTTGATATTGAGTTTAGGGGTTTTTGGTTGTTCTTTTCTTTCCCCAAGAGGGACCAATAAAGATTTATGTTTATTATTTTTTAGTTCTATTTATGCTCCATGACTAGCAACTCTTTGCTCTATACTAGTGGAGCAGCTATATTTAGGGTATAGAGACTGTATTTGGGAGCACTTGTTAACCCATTCCAGCCTCTTCTTTATTTGCTATTATTTTGGGTTATGTCCTAATACCCTTCAACCATCACATCCTCGGTGGGTGATTCTTATCACTCACTGCGGCTGTATAGTCTGAACCAAGGAGTAACTGAATTAAAAGGTGCCTCTGTCAGTTCCTATTAATTGCTAACAATATGCCTGTACTCTGTTTCTGACACTTTGCATTTGTGTCATTTACTGTGTGATATACATTTTGCATCTCTGGCAAATCTCCACAACAGAAAAGCAGCATGGTAAGGGAAATGCATGAATGACTGACTTACTGGGTCAGCCAGGAGCCAGTGTAAGTGAGAGACTCCTTATTTTTGAATGTAGGTATCTACAACTACAACATTAGGACTCACTCTCTTGTTAAAATTACAGGTGGATTGCTTTTTGTCCTGAGTCATGCACATCGCTTGCAATTTGGAAGCTGACTTCTAGATAAAGGGAATCAAAAATGCTTAAAGTATTTTTGTTGAAGCAGAAGTAGCAATAAATGTGTGTACTCTGAAAGACGTTGCAGTATGAGTGAACGGTATTCAGAATATAACAGCAGGGATATTAGTAAATAACTAGTCCTAACTCTTTTGTATAGTATAAATGACAGGGGCTAGAGCGGAATGCAATGTATACATTTCAGAAATGTTGACGTACAAGTCAATCTGCTTGGGTGCAATTTTCAGACCAGTCAAGGGGGAGGGTTGTGGAGGGGTATTAGGGTGGCACGAGGTAGCATGGAATGAAAAGAAGGGTTGCAGAGGGATATTGGGGTGGCACGAGATGAAATGAAAGGTTGTGGAGTGGTAGTAGAGGAAGAAATATGTATAGAGGGGTTATAGATCAAGAAATATGTATAACTTTTGTCAGGTCAGTCTTACACCATGAGATCGCCGAATTGGATCTGAGAATTGGTGTCCTCATGTGTTTACATTGGTTGATGTGTATTCTACAGTATTAATATGTGAATTCTGTGGGTTGACATACATTCTTATTATTATACTGATCCTGTTATTATAGATTTCAGAGCACTGAAGGCCTTGATGTCTACCTGCACATACTACAGCTGATGACTACGGTAAATCATGGCTTTGAAGCTATTGGTAGGTTTTTCCTTATATTTTTATATAGATAATTATGGGGTAAATTGATAAAAGTAATTTTGCCCTTTCATAATAGATAAACGGATACTTGCATTCATTTTACTCCATTTCAGTCCCCAGTTATTGAAGTAAAATAGTTTTTGTTCTTTTCTGTTTGCAATATCTTTATTTTATATTTTTGTCTCTTCTTTCTTTTCTTTTTCCCAGTAAAACCACCTGACTGTGGACAGAGCGTCTGGGAATTTTTGTATGATCTCACAAGCCATGAACTATGCCAACCAAATGATCCTCCTCTCTTAATACAGGAGCAGAAAACCTTACTGTCTTCTCTCTTCGCAGTCATGCAATCGATGTTTAGTTGCTACAAGGATAAAGACTACCTAAAGATCGGAAAAAGCAAGTATTTGTTGTTGTTCTAAATGGGACACCTTTAGAAACACCTTGTTGCCCTGTCCTGATTTGAGTTTTTATTATCTCCAACAGGCTCTTTCCCTAGGAATATTTCTATAAAGCTTCCTTTGAAGAATAATTCTCTTAAATCAAACTTGGTGTTTGCGACTTCTATTATTTATTCTAGACAAGTTACTCCATTATCTTAAACTCGTCCTCTACAAATAGTCCCTCTTGATTTATCTTTGAAATTGTTTCCTAAACCATAGTTTGCAGGGCAATTCCTATGCACGAGTCCGTCATAATGTATGAATTTGTAAAAAACTGCATTTTGGAAAACTGCACTGGCTGCCCACAGGGGGGCGCTGTAGTGGTGTAGATAATTAGCTTATTGACCAGCACTTGGTGTAGATTGAGTTTTACCTTAAACTTAAGTGCAGAGTCAAGTATATTCAAACATTCACTGTTTGAAATTTTATGTGCATTTTCTCACCCAAAAAGAATCCAGGTTTTGGGTTCTAAAATGTAAAGAAGCAATGTAGTATTAGTTTGTGAAACCAGGACAAAGCAGTTTATTTTTTTTTTTTATAATTCTTTATTTTAGTTGTGCAGGTTTATATCCATAAGAATGACAGACATATTGAAGTTATCAGAATTAGTAGATCCGTTGGTAAATGTGTAAATTTGGCAACAGCACAATTTTTGTAAATTAGAACAAGAGAAGATAGACAAGAGTGAGATGCTGAGCAATAAGCTTAGTTGAGTAGTTGCAGGAACGTTAAAGATTATATCTAAGCATTTAGAACATATTGGGCTAAGAACTTGGATCTTCTCAGCATGTTGTAATTCCGCCCCAGGGACCCCATGCTCGAGGTACGGGAAACCTCACATCAATAACAAAAGGTAGACTGTATTGAAATCTGGACTGATTAAGTAAAGATAAATCATATGAGGAATATACATGAGAGATAAAAATGCAAACTTTGAGGGCACAAACAGTATCAAGATTCTCACTTCATCCGATTCTCTCCAATGGCGCTGGACAGTCCGTTCGTGGGTGGGCTGCCCGTGTGCACCTGAACACCCTTGTCAGCAGGGTTTGTAGACAGGCTGTGTGGTCATGTCCGTGTGTGGCCGGCAGGGGTCTTTCCTTCTGTGTGAGATTCTTCTGGGCTTTTGCCCGAGCAAAGCAGCACGGACCATGACCAACAGGCTTGTAGCTTCTGTAGTACCATCCGTCTCGGTTAATCGCGGGCCCCTTTATCTGTAGAAGTTGGCAATTCCCGACATTTTCTGGGAGGTGAATACTGTAGAGGTTGGTCTTGGGTTTCTTCCCCACTCGGCAGTTGTAGGTAGTGGGGTATTTTGTGCCAGATGTAATTGAGGGTCTGATATAGGGTGCAAGGCTTCCCAGCCCAGTCTCCTTTGCTGTCAACGTGACATAAGGTGCCTGCTATTTTAGGGAGAGGGGGTCACTCAGCAAACTAGGTCATTAGTTGCAGGAGGGCCCCTGAGGCGAGGACCGGGTTGACCTCAGGTCTGGGGGGCAACGAGGCCAGTACCACTACACTGAAGGTTCTGCTTGTAGCCGCCCAGCAGGACAGCGGGGCAGCTGCCGTCCAACCCACTCACTACCCGAGTAGGCCTCAGCCACCATGGAGTTATTGAACCCTTTAAGGGGCCAAAATCTGCGAAGAAGATGTAGCTTCGGTTCCAGCACCTCTGTGCACACAGGACTGCTTTTTCCAGGCTGTCTTTAGGCGGGTTAACCTCCTAATTTCAGTGTAAATGCCTAGTCTGGTAGGCATGGTAGTCTGTGCGACCATTCAGCATGGCGGTCCGGCTCTGCCCCCTGGACAAGGCAGTTTCTTGTATAGATTGTTCAGGGACAATACAAAATTATAATCTTCATTCTGTTGCAAAGATAGTGGATGGATTCTCTCCTTTTTTTTTCTGTTTTCTTCTTCAGTAATTTGCAGATACACAGCCTCTTGTTCCTCTGTCTGACCAGCACAATATCTTGTCAAGTTATTTCCTATAAGGTTGCACCAGGACATGTTTTTCACTTAGATGGATAATATGTTTAATATGCTGTATTTTTATTTATTTATTTATTTATTTTTAATTCCCTGACCCCTGCAAAGAGCTATTTAGGAAACAAGCTACTTTTAATAATTTTAGATTATTCATTTTTTTTTTCCCTCCACTAACTTTACTTATTTTTAATTCCATTATAGATCTGCCATTGATTAGTCGTGTGATGCAAGTACTGGACCACGTACAAGTTTATGATGATAATTTATTTGATCAGTACACAAAGAAGAAGTCAGACTACGATGCTACTAATCAAGCCCTTGAGAAGGATGTGCCATTCAGTATACTTAAAGATGTTTGCTTGGAATTCCTCACACAAATGCTGTTCGCACTAACTAAGGTGACCATGGCACGTAATTTGATCAAAGTAAAATTGCTTTTCCTCCCCCAAAAGTGTGTGTGTGTGTGTGTGTGTGTGTATATATATATATATATATATACACACAGTGCTTTATTATATCATAATGTAAAGAAAACCCCACTTTTCTAGAGTGTTCAAGTCCATTCTTTCTGAGTAAAATGGAATACTGAGTAGGGGTGTGCCGATACAGCTGTTTATAGGATCTATTGTCCTTGAAAATAACAGGAGTGTCAGACTCTTCCTAAATTAGTGCTTGCTGCAAATGCTGAATATCCAAAATATTTTTAGTTTAGATATATCAAATATTGACTGATTATCGATATAATTCCGAAACATTGGGATCATGGGGTTTAAAATCTCTTCTAAGTCAATTTGCTTTTCTATGTTTGGTGAATGTTGCCACTTTTTAAAATATTTTTTTTATTAAACCCCAGGTATTTATGTATTTATTTTTTTAATGTATTTGTGGCGGACCACCTGGTACCCCAACAGAGTACCTCCGCCAAGCACACTGCCTAGCTATCGCCGGGACACCATAAGCACTTTCAGCCCTCTAGTGGCCGCTACTTGGCTGGGTTCTCGCTGGCTCTTTCCACCCGGGATCCAGTTCCCAGTGCTCATCCAAAGAGTATAGTAGTAATTATCACCACCATCGCATATCCCACACACATGAGCCGTGACTGAATGCTTGGAAGTCATCTGTTTAATGCAGGCACAGTCACAGAATTTATACAAACCGTAAATTCCTCCCCTGTGCCTGAGAGATCATTGAGTCAGGAGCTGTACAAACTCAATTATCTCAAAGTACCAAAAAACCGTACACAATTTGAAAACGCCCCAAAAATCCATGGAAACCCCACAAGAGTCATATCCTCAGATAGCCCCGATCTGAGGGACCAACATATCCAAAAATTGCTCCGATTGGTTCAGTGGTTCGGATTAGTGTGGTAGGGAAACCACACAAACAAAGTCTTCTAACAGGTCTTTTACATGGCCCGTAGTCCTTGGGCAAGAGGCTAGCCTGCAGGCTCCATCAAGAGCTTGTGGCAGAGGCACCTTTGCAACAGTATTTTCTTGCAATGTTTTTAGTGTTGCATGCAAACTTCAGCAGGACATAAGTTGCAATGGCCTTCAACATAGACCCGTGTAACGGATTCTATAACTGCACCTGCTTTTATAAATGGACTGCCTTAATAATGCACTATGGCTGTCTACATTCTTCAAGTTGTAAAGGAGAACCTGCACTTATAATCTAATAAAAAGGAATTTGTGGGCCACACTCAAAAGTGTAGCATACAAATTTTGGTGTTCAAAAAGTAATGGGTATAACACTTAAAAAGTAAAATCTGTAACTTTAATGTATGACTGACTGACTGGTTTTCAAACGTTGTGATCCCATATGCCTGTCTCCTAATTGTGTGCATCTTTCTTGTCTGTTGATATTTCCCATTCTGAAGACATCCTCTGGTATTTTCTCTAAATACGTTTTTGTGCCATAACCATGTATGTAACTTTTTTATCAATTTTCAGGATGATATAAAGGAGTGTTTCCAACAAGGCTATCTCAATGAGCATATATGCCGTAAGGCACTGGGGCATGTACTACCCATGTATCGATCTTATGTAAGTATTGAAGGCCATCTGTGGTCACAATGTTAAACTGTATTGGCCAGAGCCATTGTGACCTCCCCCTGGTTTTACTGAGCGCAATGTGGATTATAATCTGTTAATCTTTGGACTGGCTAACTGATGATTTCCTGATGTCTTTCTTATCTAAATATACCGGACGTTCTGTACTTCATTGTGAAAATGTCTTCTAGATGGAGCCAGTAATGCATGGGAAATGCTTGCTTTTCCGAAATTTTTTTTTTTTGTTTTTTTGTAGTAAAGGGTGTAGAACTTTATTTAACTAGTTATGGGCCTAGCATGATATCATCTGCAAAGAGTCTTATTAAAGGCACTGATACACAAAATAAATAGGGATAATAAGGTCTATCCTGGTGCTATCTGAATTTTGTCTAGAAAAGAACACACACATGGGGCTCACTATGCCACATTTAACACATTGTCTGAGGACTGATCATTGTAAATTCAGAATGTTCTACCCACTTGTGCCAGGAAAACACACACGTCACGCTGTACCCATATCATCAAACCCTGGCTATGATTCAAACAAAAACAGTGATGGCAGTTAGAACATTTTATTTATTAAATATGTATGTATGCACCAGAACCATTGCAGCTCGGTATACTAGTTATGGTGCGGTGTGTCTTGACCTTGGACAGCTGTGGGAGCATAGAGTGCTCCTTTTATTGTCTGTGTCTGATGTTTGTTTCTTGAACCTGAATTGTATGTTTTAGGTGTATTGAGCATTTTCTGTGATTAATTACATTTTCTATATTTAAAGGGACAAAACCAGCAGATTTTCACCAGGTGTATGGACACTAAACTTTTTTTTTTTCTATTTATCTATTTACATATTATAATACTGTGTCTGCAACACTGATGTAATTGTTTTGAGAATTCTTTGTGACTTCCAAGCGGAGTATTTTCAGTATTACCATAACTACTCAGCACGTACGACTATCCACCCCTTAATTTTTCTTTAGAATGACCAGCTCTCTGTAAATCATGGTCAGAAGGTCTGTGGTTAATAGGGTGGCTGTATTTTGGGTAGGGTAACCACAGTAGCACTTGAAGTAGATGCAATTACTTTCTATATCATCAAATTATAGTAAACTATTTTTTTTATTTTTTTATTTTCTTTATATATAAACAAGCATAATCATATGGATCTGGTACCTTGCTTATTAGGCGTTCTTTCCCTGCTGAGAATAGGGTTCGTACAAGAGAAGGCCTCTTTGACCTATATTCTTTTGTAGCATTTTTAAAGTGAAGCAGCAGACTGACAAATAATCAATTTCTCCTCTTTTGCTGAGGTCACCTTCTTAAAACGTTATTCAACTTGTGTAAATATATAGGACACAGAGCATCATGTGGAATATACTTTTTTTATATTGGTTTGCAACTTTTTTTAAAAAAAATATATGGTGTGCTCCCTTTTGACAATAAGAAAAAAATATATATATCTATCTTTTTTTATTTATTTTTATTTTTTTTACCACCTACTTTCTTGTTTTTGCAGATCAGTGATTTCCTTACAGTCCTGAGTGAAGTTGATCAGAACTTGTCGAACATGCTCCAGAAACTGATGCCACCGCCTAGACGTTAGTGGCATACCAGCTTTATTCCATTACCCGCAAGCCACGGCATCTTCCATCCCGCCTCGGTGCTGTTCTACTTTTCAGTTTTGGTTGACTTTTGGGATTTTTATTTATTCGTCTAGTTTTTCGCTTCTAGATACTTAAACAAAACCCGTGAAATCTGCCACTAGAAAAGAAACGGACAAAAACATGCTCCTTTTTATAGGGCACAAGGACCATTCCAGTGGAATCATTGCATCAGATGCAAGGCCCTACAGCAGTATTCACTCTGATTGTAGTCTGATTCTCAACCTTTACACAAGGTTTTTAAGCAAAATGTGACATGATGCTTAGACTGCCCCATATACAGGACAATAACGCTAGGATACATTTAAAGCAGATACATTGAAGCACATACCTAATTGCCACTGCAACACTCGTTTGAAAAAACTGTGGCAATAGCTTAAACTTCGTTTGGAAAGACGCACAGAAAAACACTGAATTACTAAATCTGTCTGGGTTCCTTTTTGTATCTTATTTTGAAAAGAATATAGTTTTTGTATGTCTACGATGACTCTTGTCTGACTGTGTGACTTCTTTTTTAAAATTAAAATAAGATTTACAAAATATGTATGACTGAGCTCCTGTACTCAGAGTACCTAGGACAAGCCCGCTTCCTCGCCGCCATAGGGGGACAAACTACGCAAACTCTTCCACCCAACCAGGCTGCAGCTCTATTCTCCCAGGCAGACATCGTCCCCTCTGCCTGTAATGTAATTAGCTCTTGCCTTTACAATGGCTCTCAGGCCTATCTTTTTTTAATTTTAATTTTTTAAATTTTTTTATTTATTGTGCAAAAATTAACATACATGCATGAAATGCCACAACCGCATTAGCAATTTTAGTAAAACAGAATTAAACATGTGTGCCATTTGAGATAGCTGCACTTTATGCGTTTTATGTGACAAGAGTAATACATATTTTAAGTGTAACCTAAGTGTGTTCTAAATAATGAGTAGTCAACTCGTTAAGTGTAAGTGGTTCATAAGTGGGTATGCAAGTTAAGTCACTCAGAAGGTTAACCTATGTGACCTGCTTGGGAGCGAGCGGGGTTTTACATAGGCATGTCTAGTCATTGGTAATTATGAGGTACATTCACATGGCTAAAAGACTGGCAATACATGTATTCTGAAACTGCTGTAGTGGGGCAGAGATGGGGAAAAGCGGAGTATTAGGGAACAATAAATCAGGAAATGTTAAATGAATGTAATAATTGGGAACCGTGCTCAGCTGCAGTGGAAAGAGTCCTTGTAGCTGCAAATCTTCACCCGATGCCACTTATGTGCTTGAGCAGATAGTCCTTTCTTTGGCCCGTTATTGACTCCAACCAGATCGGGGGCGCAGCCCGGAATCCCATGCCTCTGTTGTTTGTCTTGAGTTTCCCCGGTCCCTTTCTTCTGGCGAGGCTGGTCGGGTTCCTGAGTGCGAATGCTATTTGAGGGGGCTGGTGTGTTGGCAGGGTCCAAGTCTGTAGTGGAGCTGGAGGGTGTATGCTGCTGGACCCGGTTGGTGCCCGGAGGAGTGGGTGAGTGTTTCTAGGTGTGTGTTTAGTTACAGTGGGGTCCCTCCACCTCTGGGCTTGCTGGTGGGCCGGTGTTTAGTTTTTGCGTGCTTGAGTCCTAGTGGAGTCCTGGGCCTCTCTGGAGACGGTGGTGCGATGGGCGCCGTATGTTGCCCCCGTGGTGCTCTGTCTGCTCTCTATTTTCTTTAGCATGTGTGGCTGGCATTTGCGTAGTTTTTTTGTGGCTATGTGGGGCTGCAGCCCTGTGTTTCAGCTGGTGCTTGGTTTGTTGAGCGTCGTGGAGTGCTTTCCCCTGTTGGGCTTTTGCCATCCTCATCCTGGTCTGGCACCAGTGAGTTCTATCTGGTTGGTGTAATGTGGCTGCCTTTGCTGTGGTGCTGGCTGTTGGTGGCTGTAGAGGTTGGCGCCTATCCTCCAGGTTTGCCCAAAACCGCTCACAGATGGCATCAAACTTTGCCTGAAAGGAAGTTTCCCAGTCCCTGGGGTTCTGTCTCTTTGTGCTGCTGTCTGTGCCATCTGCCATTTTGTTCTGGCCTCGTGTCTCCCGCCTATCGGCCCCTCTCCGCTGGTGAGTACCTTCTTGCTGGGGGTGGACCGGGATAACCCTTGCCGGTCCGGGGGGGGGGAATGAGAGCCCCGCCGCAGAAGCTCAGTCTGTTTTGGCGGCAGAGGAGCGGCCATCTCCTCCGCGCCCGCCATGTGGTTAGGCCTCATCCTCATCTCAGGGAAATACTACTCGCTTTGTGTCGCGGGTGGTATCTACTTGTGCCTCTGACTGTCACCTCTCTGTTGGTGACCTTTTTGTGTCGGTTAGATGTCTCTTGGTCGGTGAATTCCGCTTTATACTGTTCAGATAGAGAGAGCTGAGGAGATTTGCTTCCTCTCAGCTCCCCGGCCAGGCCCCGCCCCATCTCTCTTTTTTACTTCTCCCAGGCTCCAGAGACCAAGCAACCAGCCAACAGGTCCAAAGACTTTGTTGCTGCCATCCCTGAACAAATCCACGCAGGAAACACCGTTGCAAAAGAAACTCACATACAAAGTTTTATTTTTACTTGGGACTAGCCCATATGTTCATTACATCAAACTTAATTAAATACAAATAACCAAAACAAACATACAAGAACTTATAACAACATGATAACCTATTTTATAAAGGGGTGGGGATAAACCATAAGTAACACAAAATATCTACCCTGGCTGCAGAATTCCTAATGTGCAAATCTACATGAATATGAAAATTAATTAGCAGGACAGGAGAGCACATAAAACACAAAGTGTGACTTAAACATAGAAGTCATCCATAGACCTAATTAAATTATCCATCTTAAGCTCCTGGTGATTGGGACTACCATCACTATATGCATTAAAAAGCAGAGGAAGGGGGCAAAGCCTGACATCGAATTGAGATAGCCGCTTAATTTTGTTCACCTCCACCACCTCGTGTAAAATACTGCAAGCTTCCCTGATCATGTGGAAAACTCACAGAGCATCAAGCTCCCAGAAGGCCACAGCCAAGGTCTCTTACCGCCTTTTTACGCCAATATATCTCTACTCAGTTGGAACTGGCCTCCCAGCCTATGTTGAAGGAGGCCTCTGACGGCACCGGAGCGAATTCCCTGTCCTTCTCGCCTGAGCAATGCTCCCCTACTTCAGAGGACCGGAACTGGGGACGACTGCAACAAGCACTACCTACCCGTGCTGATCTGGCGGCCGTCAACAGCACCTTACAGGCCTCGATCCGGGCAGACATTCAGGTGCTGCAGGACGACATCCTAGGCCTCAATAACGGTGTGGGGTGCGTTGTGGCTACCTGCAGCCAGCTCAGAACAGCCCATGCTCAAGTTGTCGATGGCTTAGTTCAACATTCTGATTATTTATGGGGACTGGCGCTACACGTCGAAGATTTGGACAATAGGGGACGGCGAAACAACTTGCGGCTGTGAGGCCTCCCTGAGGTTGAAACCAATCTGGCTCACCTACAATCCATCCTTCAGAGGATCTTCAGTAATCTTCTCTGAAGGGACGCGTCCTCGCCCATTGCTTTCATCCGGGCCCTCTGCCCGAGGGGACCCCATGATGCTCCGCCGCGGGATGTGGTGTGCTGCTTGGAAGCATTCCAAACGAAAGAATCCAGGTAGTCCGCACCCATGAGGACTACCTGCACTTGGTGTCCGTGACCTCGCTAACTCCATTAAACCGGAGATGGCCAGACCCAATTGAATTTTACCTACCTGATCCGATGAGGTCGATAACCTTACGACAGAGTGACCAGAGGTCCCGCACCATGACTACTGAGCAGCTGGACCCCTGTTCTCCCTCTCTTCTCTCTTCTCCTTTCCTCCCTTTTAAAAAGGACAAGTGAGTAATTTGTTACATGTGAGATTAGAGGAAGAGGTTCTATTTCAACTGTCAAAAGTAAAGATGAATAAATCAATGGGACCTGATGGAATACACCCAAGGTTATTCAAAGAGCTTAGTGGTGTGCTAGCAAAACCATTAACGGATTTATTTAAACAATCATTGTTAACAGGAATAGTCCCAGAAGATTGGAATTTAGTGAATGTTGTGCCCATTCACAAGAAAGGTAGTAGGGAGGAGTAGGGCAACTATAGGACAGTAAGCCTTACTTCAAGATCAGAGACTACATGGATTTACTTTAGGGAGATCATGCCAAACTAATCTTATTGATTTTTTTTTTTGATTGGGTAACTAAAATAATAGATCAAGGTGGTGCAGTAGTCATTGCTTACCTACATTTCATTAAGGCTTTTGACACTGTTGCACATAAAAGGCTTAGCAATAAACTGCAATATTTAAGTTTGGATTCCAATATTGTTGAATGGGTAAGGCAGTGGCTGAGTGACAGGCAACAGAGGGTTGTAGTCAATGGAGTATATTCAAAGCATGGGCTTGTCACCAGTGGGGTACCTCAGAGATCTGTACTTGGACCCATTCTCATTAAAAAAAAATTTGTGATATTGCAGAAGGTCTTGATGGTAAGGTAACAGGGTTGATGTTCCAGGAGGGCAAATGATTTAGGTAAACTAGAAAAATGGTCACAGTTGTGGCAACTGACATTTAATGTGGATAAGTGCAAGATAATGCATCTTGGACGTAAAAACCCAAGGGCAGAGTACAGAATATTTGATAGAGTTCTAACCTCAACATATGAGGAAAGGGATTTAGGGGTGATTATTTCTGATGACTTAAAGGTATGCAGACAATGTAATAGAGCAGCAGGAAATGCTAGCAGAATGCTTGGTTGTATAGGGAGAGGTATTAGCAGTAGAAAGAGGGAAGTGCTCATGCCATTGTACAGAACACTGGTGAGACACAGTACTGGAGACCGTATCTTAAGAAGGATATTGAAACCTTAGAGAGGGATCAGAGAAGGGCTACTAAACTGGTTCATGGATTGCGGGATAAAACTTACCAGGAAAGGTTAAAGGATCTTAACATGTATAGCTTGGAGGAAAGACGAGACAGGGGGGATATGATAGAAACATTTAAATATATAAAGGGAATCAACACAGTAAAGGAGGAGACTATATTTAAAAGAAGAAAAACTACCACAACAAGAGGACATAGTCTTAAATTAGAGGGACAAAGGTTTAAAAATAATATCAGGAAGTATTACTTTACTGAGAGGGTAGTGGATGCATGGAATAGCCTTCCAGCTGAAGTGGTAGAGGTTAACACAGTAAAGGAGTTTAAGCATGCGTGGGATAGGCATAAGGCTATCCTAACTATAAGATAAGGCTAGGGACTAATGAAAGTATTTAGAAAATTGGGCAGACTAGATGGGCCAAATGGTTCTTATCTGCCGTCACATTCTATGTTTCTATCTCCGGTACCTAGGGCTGACATAGGTGTGATGACTTGAACAGACCATTCCCCTGTATTGCTGACTGTATCCTTCCCTCCATGCAGACCATGGTCCACTCATTGGCTGCTTAATAAAACACTCCTTTCTGACCCGCTCCTCCTCCAAGACACAACCAACGCCCTAAAATAATACTTTAACGAAAATGTGATGTCTGACGTTCCAGCCCCAATGGCATGGGAGGCCCACAAGTGCACCATAAGGAGATTCTTCATAGCCAGGGGCACAGTCTTGGGGAAAAAAAACTCAGGGAAGCAAAAATTTGAGAGCTCACAGATTATATCCAAGAATTGGAAATGGTACATAAGACCAAAACTTGACCACCTTCCAGGAATTGGCCGACCTGAGTTGCAAACTGGCTACGCACCTCCACCACCGCATGCAAAGATCCCTGCTCCATACCAAAGCACATTTCTACGTTAATAGCGATAAATGTGGCAAACTCTTTGACCGCATTCTCAACAAAAAGAGAAATAAGTCATACATAGCCTGCCTACGGGATATCCAAGGCCAAGCACAGTGACTACCTGACAGAATAGCTGACGTGGCACGTGGATACTTTTCTACACTGTATTCAAAAACACCCATACCGGACTCCCCACAGCATGCTCCGGGGATGGAGCCTGTTCACGCTTATTTCAGGGACAATGACTACTCGACACTACCGACCAAGGCAGTTGAAGCATTGGAGGCTTCCTTGACAATGGAAGAACTGGTGGCAGCGGTCAAAGCCATGAAACCAGGCAAGAGCCCAGGACCGGACGGGCTCACGGTACGTTACTATATGCAATTCGCGGGCATACTGTTTCCACATTTTCTGGAGCCATACAACTCGCTTACCCAGGGTCACAGGATCCCCTCCCAGACATTGACAGGTAACATCACGTTGATACCCAAAGAGGGCAAGGACTTAGAGCAGTGGTCTAATTACCAGTCGATCTCCATTCTGAATTGCGACTTGGAGTTCTTCGCGAAAATCTTGGCTACAAGGCTACTACCTTAAATACCTATGCTGGTAAAACCGGATCAAGTGGGCTTTTTCCCTCACTGAGAAGCTAGCGATAATACCACGAGAGTACTGACGCTGATTCATCAAGCCCAGAGGACTGGGGAGGACCTTCTACTGCTTTCCACAGATGCAGAGAAGGCCTTCGACAGAGTGAGCTGGGACTTAATCTTTCGCACTCTTCAGGCACTGGGAACGGGTCCCAAGATGTACACCTGGATCACAGTTTTGTTCAATAACTCCACGGCACAGGTCTGTATTAACGGGGCTTTCACCGACACGTTCGAGATCCACAATAGCACCAGACAGGGCTGTCCGCTGTTGCCGCTGCTCTTTGTCCTTGCCCTCGAGCAGTTTCTTCAGGCTGTGAGACGCATTCCTGACATCAAGGAACTCAGAGTGGGACCCACGTCGCATAAGGTGGGCGCATACGCGGATGACGTGATATTTTTCATTTCCTTGCCAGAGACGACCCTTCCCAATATAATGCAGACGTTTGATTGCTATGGCAAGATTTCCCATTTCAGAATCAATTACTCTAGGGATTGATGTATCAACAACTTAAACCGTTCATAAACCACTAACCCCGTTTGAAACCGTAGGTGATGACCTGGACCCACTCCTACAAAATAGAAACCTCCCTCCTCCCGCGTACATGGGCAAATTGGAAACTTGGCTAAAAGAAACTTTCACAGACCAGCAGTGGGGCAAGATGTGTGAACTAGTACATCACTGCCCATTAGCCAGTAAGACGCAAGAGACTGTCTATAAGGTTTTGTCGTTATTGTATAGGACCCTACAAGCTCTAAGGTATTTGAATCCAGCCCTGGAAGACTATTGTTGGCGCTGTCGGGCTAGCACTGGAACATTCCCACACATTTGATGGGAATGCCCTATGGTAACACCTTTTTGGCAGGCAATAGGTGAAATCTTAAACAAATTCTCTGACAACCCGCCCCCTTTCCGACCGGCCTCCCACCTCTTATATCACACCACCACGCCAACAACAATGTACCAGAAATCCCTGACGGTTAGAATACTGAACACCGCTAAACAAGTGCTGCCTTTGTTCTGGAAAAAAGACATGCCCCCTCGCTTGACAGTGTGGTTTGATAAGATGGAGGACCTCCGATGACTTGAGGAACTGACGTTTGTGGCACAAGACCGCTCTCAGACTTATAGGGACATGGGGTCTCGCCGTCTTCCTCCTACTCTGGGCCCAAGACCAGGGTCCAGCTTCCAGTAGGTAGATTTCTCTTAATCCAGAGAGCAGGAACAAGCTCTTACTAGAGCTTACTCTGGGGAGTATAGTGATTATAGCAATCCTCGGAGTGTAGGTAGTTCTCCAATCCCCCAAACATGAACTGAAACTTCATGAAGGGTAGAACAAGTCTGTTTAATGTAAGCCAGCATTCACAATTTATACAATTCCTCAGGCCAGAGGCACACTCTCTGGACCTAATGGAACACATGCACACAAAGGACACAAACCAATAAGAACACTGTAATAATGACCGACACTCCCACATGCAGCACACAAGCCCTCCCCTCTGCCTGGGATATAATTAAATCCGCCAATACAATAACCTAATTATCCACAGGCAGAAAAACACACGTTTTCCCCAAAGTCTAGAAAACACCCCAAAACATAACACATCCCTACAAGCCCTGATCTGGGTGAGCAACATATCCAAAAATCACCCAGTTCAGACCAGGGGTTCAAAAGTTTTGTGGGAGTCCCTTTTGATCAACCGCACGCATGATTTCATGCCCAAAACAGTTCCAGAGAATTTGGGTGTGCGGCTGGTGTATTTCCAATGTTAAATTCAGTTCAAATAGACTAATGGCAAATGTCATTGTTAAAGTGCAGTTCGAATTGTCGAACGGCATTCGACTACAGTCGAAGAGTTGAAGTTCAGAGAAGATAAAGTTTCAACGGTGTTCATGCCGTCGCGTGTCCGATTTGAGTTCCATGAACTCGACGACAAAACACAGCTGAACTCGTTCAACTGAATTAAAATGGCCGCCGCCATGTGGTCAAATGGCGGCTACTTCGATTGTATCCGAAGTGCCCCTTAAAAGGTGTAGAACTGTTCCAATATGATTTAAAGGGGCAGACCCAGTGTCTTAAAACCCCATAAGCCCAAATAGTGCTTTTAAAGGGCCATATATCTCAGGGGCCATAGTCACAGGGCAAGAGGTATAATCGAGTTCTCGCATACGCCTTTTCTTGTTGTTGGGACAAGATT